GGGTGGTTATGGGGTGATATGGGGTGGTTATGGGGTGGTTATGGGGTGGATATGGGGTGATATGGGGTGGATATGGGGGGGATATAGGGTTGTATGGGGTGCTATGGGGTGGCTATGGGGTGCTATGGGGCAGATATGGGGTGCTGTGGGGCTGTCGGAGGGCTGTGGGGTCCCTATGGGTCTCTATGGGTCTCTGTGGGATTCTATGGGGCGCTGTGGGTCTCTATGGGGTTTCTATGGGGTCCCTATGGGTCCCTATGGGTCCCTATGGGTCTCTATGGGTCTCTATGGGTCTCTATGGGTCTCTATGGGGTTTCTATGGGTCTCTATGGGGTCCCTATGGGTCTCTATGGGTCCCTGTGGGTCCCTATGGGTCTCTATGGGGTCTCTATGGGTCTCTATGGGTCTCTATGGGGTTTCTATGGGGTCGCTATGGGTCGCTATGGGTCACAGTGGCTTCTGCCCCATAGGAAAAAGTCGACCCGACGGCCGCCTCCAATCCCGACCTCCACCTCAACCGCGCCACGGTGAGAGCCAATGGGAGCAAGGGGCGGGACGCCGGGCGGCCAATGGGAACACGGGGGATGGAAGGGGGGCGGGGCTACAGGATCTATGGAGAGCTGTGGGGTTTCTATGGGTTCCTATGGGTCTCTATGGGTTCCTATGGGTCTCTATGGGGTTTCTATGGGGCTCTAGGGGCGGGACCGGAAGTGAGGGCGGGACTTCCGCCGCTTTCAACCAATCCCCGCAGCTGCTGCAGTTCGAAGAGAACTACGGGGCCGCCCTGGATGGCTACGCGCGGGCGGCTGCTCTGGCTCCTGATTGGCCCGAGCCGCGCATGCGCCGTGCCAGGCTGCTGGATTACTTGGGGCGGATCTGCGCCGCCCTGGGTGCAGCGGTGAGCGGAAGTGGGCGGGGCTTGGGGCGGAAGTGGACGGGGCTTGTTGTGGAGGGACGATTCCTGGGTCAAGATGGGGTGAACGGAAGTGGGCGGTGCGCTGGCCGGAAGTGGGCGGGGAGTGGGTGTAATGTGTAAAGGGAGGGGGCGTGGTTTGAACAGCGGGGTGGGCGGGGCTTGGGTGGGAAGTGGGCTGTGATTGGGTGAGGTGAGCGGGAGGGGTGTGGTTACGGACTGAATAGGGATAATGAGCAAAAGTGGGCGGGGCGTGGGCCGGAACTGGGCGGGGCGTGGGTCTAGTGGGTAAATAATGGGAAGCGGAGTTTGGGAAGTGGGATGGGCGGGGCTTGGGGCGGTAGTGGGTGGTGATTGGATGAGGAGAGTGGGAGGGGGCGTGGTTACTGGGTGAGTAGGGATAAGGAGCGAAAGTGGGCGGAGATGGGGGCGGAAGTGGGCGGGGCTTTGCGTGGAAAGATGATTTGGGGTTCGGGATGAGGTGAACGGAAGTGGGCGGGGCGCTGGACGGAAGTGGGCGGGGATTGGAAAGTTTGTGTAGGGGGCGGGGTTCTGCGGGAATGGGCGGGGTGGTTAAGCGGAAGTGGGCGTGGCATGGGCCGGAAGTGAGCGTTACAAGTGGGTAGGCGTGGCTTTGGAGGCGCGAGCATCGTTAACGGAAGTGGGGGATGGCGTCGGCCGGAAGTGGGTGGGGCTTTGATCGGAAGTGGGTGTGGATTAGGTGTTTTGGGGACGAGGGGGGCGTGGTTCTGTGGGGCAGGCTGTGGTTGGTGTTTAACCGGAAGTTGCCGATGCCTGGGCCGGAAGTGGGCGTTATGGGTGGGTAGGCGTGACTTTGGAGGCACGTGCATCGATACCGGAAGTGGGGGTGGCGTTGGTCGGAAGTGGGGGTGGATTGGGTGCTTGGGGGACGAGGCGGGCGAGGTTTTCTGGGGCAGGCTTTGATTGGTGTTTAACCGGAAGCGGGCGTGTCATGGACCGGAAGTGGGCGTGTCATAGACCGGAAGTGACTGTTTTCACCCCCCCAAAACCAGGGCAAGGCCCGGGGCCGGAGGCGCAGGGCGCTGTCGCCGTCGCTGCTGGGATCTCTGGGGGAAGCCGTGACCCCGATGGCGGCGCTGGGGGACGGGGACAACGTGGGGCGGGCGCTGCTGGGCCGAGTGCTGGGCTGCGTGCTGCCCGACGAGAGAGTGCCCATGTGGGTCTGGGAGCAAAGATGGCTTCCCTTCGCCCCATAGAACCACGTAGAGACCCATAGAGTCCCGTACAGACCCGTAGAGAACCCCATAGGGACCCATAGAGACCCATAGAACCCCACAAAGACCCATAGAGACCCATAGAACCCATAGAGACCCATAGAGACTCATGGAGCCCCACAGACCCCATAGAGACCCATAGAGACCCATAGATCCCACAGAGCTTCATAGAGACCCATAGAGGCCCATAGGGACCCATAGAAACTCCATAGAGACCCATAGATCCCACAGAGACCCACAGAGGCTCATAGGGACCCATAGAGAACCCTATAGGGAGCCATAGAACCCCATAGAGACCCATTGAGACCCATAGAACCCCATAGAGACCCATAGAACCCCATAGAGACCCATAGAGACCCATAGAAACTCATGGAGACCCATAGAGACTCATGTAGCCCCACAGACCCCATAGAGACCCATAGGGACCCATAGAACCCCATAGAGAGAGACCCATAGAGACCCATAGAGACTCATAGAGAACCCCATAGAGACCCATAGAACCCTGTAGAGACCCATAGAGACCCATGGGAACCCCATAGAGACCCATAGAGAATCCCATAGGGACCCACAGAGACTCATAGAGAACCATAGAGACCCATAGAATCCTGTAGAGACCCATAGAGACCCATAGGGACCCATAGTGAATCATGGAGTCCCATAGAGACCCACAGGGACCCATCAAGAACCCCATAGGGACCCATAGAACCCCATAGAGACCCCATAGAGACCCATAGAGACCCCATAGAGACCCCAAAGAACCCCATACTGCCCCATAGCTCCCCATACCACCCCATAGAGACCCCAAAGAACCCCATACTGCCCCATAGCTCCCCATACCACCCCATAGAGACCCCAAAGAACCCCATACTGCCCCATAGCTCCCCATAGCACCCCATAGAGACCCCATAGAACCCCATGCTGCCCCATAGCTCCCCATACCACCCCATAGAGACCCCAAAGAACCCCATACTGCCCCATAGCTCCCCATAGCACCCCATAGAGACCCCATAGAACCCCATGCTGCCCCATAGCTCCCCATAGCACCCCATAGAGACCCCAAAGAACCCCATACTGCCCCATAGCTCCCCATAGCACCCAATAGAGACCCCACAGAACCCCATACTGCCCCATAGCTCCCCATAGCACCCAATAGAGACCCCACAGAACCCCATACTGCCCCATAGCTCCCCATAGCGACCCCATAGAGAGCCCATACTGCCCCATAGCACCCCATAGAGCCCCCTCAATGCCCCCTAGCGCCTCATAGAACCCCATAGAGACCCCATAGAG